GTGGATGCGCAGGCAGGTGGGTCGATTAGGGGGAAAGAATCAAGACTGCCGTGGGGTGGTTGACTTGGGGGCATGAGGCGTGCGCGGAGGACGGCGCGGCAGGAAGAAAGGGAGAGCCAATTGCAGCTACAGCCCATCGGCGGCCCCGCCCCCGCCGCGGCCATAAGCAGCCCCGGCCTCAGGTCCGGCCTCCTGCAAACATCCATGTATAGACAACCTGAAGCTCACCTCAGCCTCATGCCCACGTGGCGGATGTCCACCGCAATCACGGGGCCTCCCAGGATGGTCAGGGCATGGATGAGGTCAGTGTAGATCACTAGCCCTCCCACGCCGTGGAGAAACAGCACCGGGGCTGCGGCAGCGGGCCGCTGCCTGCTGCTGTCGCTGCCGCAGGCGCTGCTGCTGGCGCTGCTGCAATCGCTCGCGTCGCTGCTGCTGCCGTCGCCGCTGCTGCTGCTGCGAGAGCGGCTGCTGCTGCTGTTGCTCCCCGCGTTTGGACGCCCGTCGAGGCCTCGGGTGTAGTACACAATCTCCCTGTCGGTTGGATTGCAGTCCATCCCGCCGCGTGAAACGTTTGCACTCTGTGAGCAAGGCGGCACAGGGCCACAGCCAACGAAATCCAGCACCCTCCCACGGGCAGCAGCCGCGGCGCCCGACAGGCCCCCCTTACGCCGTCAGGCAGGCTGAATCCCCTGGATCCCCGTGCGTGCGCAGCGCGCCCCGCCTCACCCGACGCGCCGCCGCTTGAACCCCATGGCGGCCATGGCTGCCCAGGTGGCGAGCGCCGCCGCCTCCATGAAGATGTAGAAGGCAAAGGGGCGGTAGTGTGCCTTCAGGTCGTCCCACAGGTGCGACATGAACCTCGCGCCCTGCGGGGGCGTCAGTGTGACGTCATGATGATGCCATGCGCGTCATGGATAGCCCTTTGGGTCCTGGAACGCTCGGGGGATGGGAATAACCAGGTGCATAGCGGCGTCTCGGGACGTATCCCCAGTAGAGCAACCGCCGGCCCCACCGACCAGCGGCGGCGCGGGCACCCTTTGCTTGGCGCGGGCGGGCAGGCACGGACAGGGGGCCAGGCCCCGTTGGGGGCACCAGCGGGGCCGGTCGGTGAATAAGATCCAAGCTGAGCTCACCTGTGTGTAGCCTGATGGGAACTTGTGATTCCAGGAGCGCTCAAGAGCATCGACCATCTCAGAGGGCACGTGGCCCAGGCCGGCAGCTTCCATCTCGGCGGGTGTGCGGTACCAGAAGCCTGGGAGGGGAGGGGGGAGAGACGGTGCGTGGCGCATGCATGTGTGTGTAATGTGTGTGGTGTGGTGCGGTGTGCGTGCGTGCGTGCGTGCATGCGTGCGTGCGTGTGTGCGTGTGTGCGTGTGTGTGTGTGTGTGTGTGTGTGTGTGTCAGCGTACAGTGTGTGCTACTTTGGGGTGCCAAGCAAAGCCCTGGCACCAACCATTCGGCGATCACCCAGCCACGGGGTGCAGTAGAGGAAGGCTCGAGACGACGCGTACTGCACGCGCTTCCTGAGGCAGCAGAGATCGCAACCGCCAACCGCAGAGCGACCATGCGCGGCAGCTGCGACCCTGCACAGCCACGTGGCACGCGCACCGCAGGGCCGCCCGGCCGCTGGAGCCTCGACGCTAGGCCCTCGGGCGCGCGCCCGACAAACCCTCGCTGTGGCCCCTTTTAGAACTCACCATATGCCATTAATTCCTCCATGTTGCCGCGCCTAATCTGGTCAACAGGAAGGCCTTGAAACCACAGCGTCAGGTAGGCATCAAGGTTGGCGTACCCCGGGCCGGCTTCCCCGGCTTTGACGAACCGCTCAAAAAGGTTGAACGCGTCGAGCCGCGCCGGCGCATGCGGCGCGCCGCGCGGCTGCGCGTTCCAAGCGGCCCGGCGGGGCCGCCAGTAGAGGATATAGAAGGCCTGCGGGTACAGGAGGGTGGTGGTCAGGGGTGGGTGAGGGCACTCGAGGCTGGGGGC